CTGGCCCCACCCAATCGGGCAGGGCCAGCCAGCCAACCGGCCCATGGCCCTCCCCCAGGCCACTGGCCCCCCCATCAGCAACCCTCATCCCATTAAGGGGCGGTGCCCACCAGCCAGTCACCTGCAGCCCCTTCCGCCAGTTACCCGGCCCTGATTGGGCCTGATCGGGGCAGGCCGGCTGGCCAACCTCCCACCATCTCCTCCTTACAGCCTGATCTGACCAGACCCCACCCATGCACGAATTCGTGCACTAGGCCTCTAGTCATTTTATAAATGAAAATACTGAACACACAATGATAGGACTAGATAAGACATCATTTAATAATTGTTTCTGGGTAAGACCAGTGGGTGGGAGATAATGGATCTAATTAATTGTCTTATTTTTATAACTTTGCACATAAAAGGATGTTTTTTTCTTTATAAATACAAGTATTGCAGTGTCTTCTGCTGGATACTAGAAGCGATGCCCAGGCCATAAGTACTGTATGTAAACCTTCCTTAGACTTTTCAGAGACTGTTTTATTAATTGCTTTTATTCTTCTGTTCAGTGTTTACAGGCATTGGAGTTTTTACATGCTAATCAAGTGATCCACAGAGACATCAAAAGTGACAATGTGCTTTTGGGGATGGAAGGATCAGTTAAACTTAGTGAGTAACAAATGAACAAATAACATTTATTTGCTATTTATTATAATTTTTGCCTTTTATTTAAATAAAAACCTCTTATGCTATTAATATTGTTATGACTTAATAGATGGAGAGGGAGGGAGAATAGTGGTAAAGAATATGGACTCTCAATAGGACAGCCTGTGTTTAAATAGCAGAGCTGCTATACTTGCTCAATAATTTTAGGTGAGTTACTTAATCTCTTCATGTTTTTCTCATTTATATAATATGGAAAATAATAATATCTATCTCAAAGAATTCTTCTGGAGATTAAAACACTAAGGAACAGTACCTAGGACTATCATAATGTTGGTGCTATCTTCCAAAGATGAACTTGAATTTGTTTCTGCTGTCTTTTTTTTTTTTTTTAATTTAAGAGGAAGAGAGGGAAAGAGAGATAGAACATCAATGATGAGAGAGAATCATTGATTGGCTGCCTCCTTCACGCCCCCTACTGGTAATCCAGCCTTCAACCCAGGCATGTGCCTTGACGGGGATCCAACTATGACCTCCTGGTTCATAGGTTGACGCTCAACCCCTAAGCCACATCAGCTGGGCTCTGCTATCTTTTAGGTCATGCTGTTCCACTTTCATTGGATTTGGCAATGTGGCCTAATCATTTGAAGGCCTATGTGACCCTGACCTTGGAAATGATAAGGGAAAAAAACTCTTATAACCCTCTTTTCCTATATATTTCCTGTATCAGGCATGGTAGAGTCATGGGGGGAAAAAATCATAGGTTCTTTTTCCTCTGCTAGTTATAATGTCTCACTTCCAACCATGCCCTCTGTAGGATTTAAGAACTTCTTTTTTCTTTTCTTTTTTTTAATAAAAAGGAACTTCTACTGAGGTTTCTCCAACTATGCAAAACTCAAGGCATTTCTTGGATCAAGAAACCAAAAACTTTTTCTTCTGTTCTGCTCGAGTTTCGCTGCTTTTTCAGCATCTCCTTAAGATACATCCTTTAAAAATTATTCAACCACAAGAAAAGGGGTCTGGGTTCTATCAGATGGTCAGAATATAAAGTTACTAACCTTCATCTTAGTGGGCAGGTTAAAAATGGACAGTTTCATACATTTTTAGTGAATACATATGTAAACTGAATTGGACTTTTTCAGATAATACTTAATCCTAGCTCTTCTGCTTACTAGATGAATAATCTTGGGTAAGTTATCTAAAAATATATGTGTCTGTTTCCCCATTTGTAAAATGAGAATAATAGTAATGTACCTGTCTAATAGAGTTATCGTGAGGTTTAGATATGTTAATTCTTATAAGGTATTGGGAACAATATCTTTTTTTATAAGCTCTCATTTTAGCCATGGATAGTATGATTTGACCTAACAATTGTTCTTTCAGGATTCACTCCTATAGAATTACTAAACATATGCACAATTACAAAGATGTTCTCTGCAGCATTGTAAGGAAAACCAAAATATGTTAAATGTCTAGTGGTACAGGAATGGTTAAATGTTATGATTTTTTTATATTCTTTTGTTTTTGTATATTCTTTAGTATTGTATAGTTATAATAATGAGGTAGTTCAGTGTATTAATATGGAAAGATCTCTAAAAATTGTTTTTTAAAAGTTTACAAAATATCTTAATTAGATAGAATGAATCAAGTGGTTCATAGATATTATTTGTATGTATGTAAATGCATAACAAAAAGTCTAAAGTTTACATTTATATTCAACTATAGTAATATTTTAAAAATTAAATAAAGAATAAACAAATATAAAAGCTCTGGAAATAATTTTTTAGAGGAGGAAAAAAGTAAAGATTGCAAACATAAACATTAACAGTAGTTACATATGGAACAGAATGGGAGAGAGGAAAAAATTCTAGATTCTCATCCTGACTTTGCCACTAAACTAGGCATTCTACTCTTCAGTTATTATAAAACTAGAGGACCGGTGCATAAAATTCATGTACGGGGGTGGTTCCCTCAGCCCGGCCTGCGCTTTCTCACAGTTCCGGACCCCTCGCTCCTTACCGCTCGCCTGCTCACTGCTCCTTACCACTCGTCTCTCTGCTCCTTAGCACTGCCTTGGAGGCAGGAGAGGCTCCCACCACCACTGCTGCGCTCACCAGCCATGAGCCCAGCTTGTGGCTGAGTGGTGCTCCCCCTGTGGGAGTGCACTGACCACCAGGGGGCAGCTCCTGCGTTGTGCATCTGCCCCCTGGTGGTCAGTACACATCATAGCGACTGGTCGTTCTGGTCATTCCACTGTAATGGTCACTTAGGTTTTTAAATATATACTAGAGGCCCGGTGCACAAAAATTTGTGCACTCGGGGGGAGGGGGTCCCTCAGCCCGGCCTGTGCCCCTCTCGCAGTCTGGGACCCTCGGGGGTGACCACTTGCTGGCTTAGGCCTGCTCCCCGGGGGATTGGGCCTAAGATGGCAATCAGACATCCCTCTGGCAGCCCGGCAGCCCTTGGGGAATGTCCACTTGCCCGTGGGGAGCAGACCTAAGCTGCAGTCAGACATCCTTAGCGCTGCTGAGGAGGCAGGAGAGGCTCCCACCACCACTGCTGTACTGGCAGCCATCAGCCTGGCTTGTGGCTGATCAGAGCTCCCCCCTGTGAGAGCACACTGACCACCAGAGGGCAGCTCCTGCATTGAGCGTCTGCCCCCTGGTGGTCAGTGTGTGTCATAGTGACCAGTCATTCCCAGTCTTTCTGCTGTTAGGGTCAGTTTGCATATTACCCTTTTACTATATAGGATAGAGGCCTGGTGCACGGGTGGGGGCCGGCTGGTTTGCCCTGAAGGGTGATCCGGATCAGGGTGGGGGTCCCGCTTGGGTGCCTGGCCAGCCTGGGTGAGGGGATGATGGCTGTTTGCAGCTGGCCACACCCCCTTTAGGGTGGGGGTCCCCACTGGGGTTCCTGGCCAGCCTGGATGACAGGCTGATGGCTGTTTGCAGCAGGTCACACCACCTTCGGGGTGGGGGTCCCCACTGGGGTGCCTGGCCAGTCTGGGTGAGGGGCTGAGGGCCGTTTTCAGGCTGGCGGGCGACTGAAGCTCCCAGCCTCTCTTTTTTTTTCTTTTTTTTTTATTCTGGGATTTATTTACCTTCTATAGCTGTCACTGGAGCTGAGAGCCGGCTCCAGCTCTGAGGCCTGGCTCCAGCTCTGAGGCCATGGCTGGCTGAAAGCAGGTATCTGGGTTTGTTTAGCTTCTATAATTGAAACTCTGTTGCCATCACTGGCGCTCTAAGCTCTGAGGCCCCGACTGGCTGAAAGCAGGTATCTGGGGTTTGTTTAGCTTCTATAATTGAAACATTGTTGCTTTCGGGCTCAGAGCCGGGCCGCAGCAGGCGGAGAACCTTGGCTTCCTCCATCACTGGAGCAAGCAAGCCTCATGTTCACTTCAGATGCGTGGCTGCCGGCCGCCATCTTTGTTGGCAGTTAATTTGCATATCCTGCTGATTAGCCAATGGGAAGCGTAGTGGATGTATGGTCAATTACCATGTTTGTCTATTATTAGATAGGATATAGACTAGAGGTCCAGTACATGAAATTCATGCACGGGATCGGGGGTTCCCTCAGCCTGGCCTGCACCCTCTCCAATCTGGGACCCCTTGGGGGATGTCCAACTGCTGGTTTAGGCCCGACCCCCAGCAATCTGGACTGCTGGCTCCTAACCACTCACCTGCCTGCCTGATAGCCCCTAACTGCTCTGCATGCCTGCCTGATAGCCCCAAAACCCTCTGCCTGCCTGATGCCCCTAACTGCTCTCCTGTCTGCCTGACTCCCCTAACTGCTCTCCCCTGCCGACCTGATCTCCCTTACTGCTCTCCCCTGCCGGCCTGATCCCCCTAACTGCTTTCCCCTGCCAGCCTGGTCACCCTAACTGCTCTCCCTTGCCAGCCTGATGGCCCCTAACTGCTCTCCCCTGCCGGCCTGATCACCCCTAACCGCCTCTGCCTCAGCCCCACCACTGTGGCTTTGTCCGGAAGACATCGGTCTACCCGGTCTAATTAGCATATTACCCTTTTATTAATATAGATAAGGAGGTGGGAGTATTGCTGGTGAGCACATTGTAGGTACAGTTATAGTTAAACATGCTCTTTTTCTAGACTCTGCTATCAGCTGTATAGTTACTAGCTTCTGTTTGTTTTCATCAAAAGTAGTTATCATTTCCTGACCTTTGCCTGTGACTTTTTCTTCTTGACCTTTTTCAACTTTATTAAAATCTTTAGGGCAGAATTAATTTTTTCATTGAATTTATTGGAGTGACATTGCTTAATAAATTATATAGGTTTCAGGGGTACAATTCTATAATACATCATCTGTACATTGTATTGTTTGTTACCATCCCAAGTCAAGTCTCTTTCCATCACCATTTATTCCCCCCCTTATTCTCTTCTACCTGTCCCCACCCCCCTTTTTCTCTGGTTAGAATTAATTATTTAGAATAAAAGACCTCCTGATAATTTGTCCTCTGCTTGTGGCAAGTTAAAGTGAAAAAGTGAAAGTATGTAACATCATCAAAATATTTGTAAACCCATCCTAGTGGCTTTATTAATACAGTCTTAAAAAACAAGTGGGTGAGTAGTCAAATGTAATTAATTAAGTTATCTGCCCTGGCCGGTTCAATTCCCAGTTAAGGACATGTACCTGGGTTGCAGGCTCGGTCCCTGGTAGGGGACATGCAGGAAGCAGCCAGTTGATGCTATGCTTTCACATCAATCCTCTTCCTCTCCCTCTCCCTCTCTTATGTCATCTAAAGTGAATCTTTAGAAAAAACCATCCATGGACACCATTAACTTCAGATGTTTTGTTTTGTTTTATAGCTGACTTTGGTTTCTGTGCCCAGATCACCCCTGAGCAGAGCAAGCGAAGTACCATGGTTGGCACACCATACTGGATGGCACCGGAGGTGGTTACACGGAAAGCTTATGGCCCTAAGGTGGACATATGGTCTCTGGGTATCATGGCTATTGAAATGGTAGAAGGAGAGCCTCCATACCTCAATGAAAATCCCTTGAGGGTAAGACAAACACCAGCCTTATTTTAAGAAAAATACTTTTATTTAAAACATTTAGGTAGTACCTGCTTGTTCCAGGCACTGGCCAAGAATTTAGGATGCAAAGTTGATAAAACCTAGTTGTTTCCTTCACTCGGCATCTAAAAAATCATTTGCTTCTGGGTTGAGTTGAATGCGTTAGGTAGAGTTTGTAGATTTTTAGTAAGTTGAATGCTTTAATTTTGTATATAAGTAAGAATTTCCTCACTTTTCTACAGAGTTAAGAGTCCCTAGACATACCCTTCAGGTTATCAACTTTGAACCTTGGCCTCTGGTACCCCTAGGTACAGAGAAGAGGAAAGCAAGATCACATCTGTGAGAAAGCTGTGTAGATGGCAATGTTAAAGCCTGTATTCAAACAAAAGAGTGAGGGCCCTGAGATACAGATGAGGTCAGTAGACTTTAAACAAATATTCAGCAGCTGAGGGTGGAGAGTTTCGGGGTTCCTTCCTTCCTACCTCCCTCCCTCCCTGCCTGCCTGCCTTTCTTTATTTTTTTCTTCTACTTTTAAATCACCATATATGGCTCAATATCATAGCACTTTACACCTACAAGAATGACTATAATAAAAAAGTTGAAGAATAATAAGTGTTGGTGAGAATGTGGAGAAATTGGAACCCTTATACTTTGCTAGTGGAAAGGTAAATGGTGCATGTAGCTCTTTGAAAAAGTTCCTCTAAAAGTTAACATTGAGTAACATATAACCCAGCAATTCTAGTGCTGTGTATATTCCCAAGAGAATTAAAAGCTTACATCCACTCAAAAACTTGTACACAAATGTTGATAGCAGCATTCTTATGAGCCAAAAGGTAGAAACAGCCCAAATGTCTATCACCTGATGAATGAATAAACAAAAGTGGTATATGCATATAATGGAATATATTTTAGTCATAATAAAGGAATGAAATACAGATACATAAACATTGAACCTTGAAAGCATTATGCTATATGAAAGAAGTCGAACACAAAGATCATATATTGTATGATTCCATTTACATTCGATTCTTATTCATGGTGGTTAGATTCTACAAAGCCGCAAACACTGAATAATGAAAGCGAAACCATTGCTTCTAGGGGAAATACAGGGTTAGGTTCCTAAAGCCTCTGGTCACAACATTTTGATATACAGCTAATCAACTGATTGATATACAGCCTTGCCTTTATGTGTGTTTCTGTTTAAAGACACTCTATTTAACAATTGTTGATTGAATAACATTGAACTCATGGCCAACAGCACTATAACTCATGCCTGAATGAAGATTATCAAAGATGTATATTCTCCACAAGGCACATCACAGCCTTCTTGCACTTAGGTACACTAGACAGCTCTTCAGCACTGTGCTTCTCACCTCTGCACATATCCATTAATGATCACAAAAGCACTGAGAGTATTGATTTTGGAGTTGCAAATAAACTTTAGTGAGTAAGTGAATTTGCATGTGTGGAATCTGCACATAATGGGGATTGACTGCATACATTTTATAGATTTCTGTAGAGACAAGAAATTAGTGGTTTCTGGGGACTGAGGAAAGGAGGGAAGAAACCTTTGCAGAGACAAGGTTTGAGGTTTGTGGAAAATCTCCATTGAGCATTCAACAGAGATTGGCACACCTGTATGAGTACTCTGCCCAGGGCCGGGGATATAGCCATCTGCTAAGATTGGAGAGGATGGTGCCCACTGCTCTCATAGGGCTGGGAATAGTGCCTGCTTCTGTCAGCAATAGTAAACCTTGTAAGAGTAAACCTTATATTTCACAGGATGTTGAGTAGAGGACTCAACAGTCTTGCCTCAGTGATAGGAAATAGTTACCCTAGACCCGTGGTCGGCAAACTGCGGCTCGCGAGCCACATGCGGCTCTTTGGCCCCTTGAGTGTGGCTCTTCCTAAGCCTTAGGAGTACCCTAATTAAGTTAATAACAATGTACCTACCTATATAGTTTAAGTTTAAAAAATTTGGCTCTCAAAAGAAATTTCAATCATTGTACTGTTGATATTTGGCTCTGTTGACTAATGAGTTTGCCGACCACGGCCCTAGACTATATGCTGCTGTAGTCTAACAAATCTTATTCTAAAACAAGACCCAAAGGTATCTGTTCCAAAGTAACTGTGTCCCAGGACAAAGCTCAAGAATATTTATGAGTCCAGATATATCTGGCACCCAAATACCCAGTCAAAGTTTACCAGACAGGCAAAAGAGCAGGAAAATTATAACCCATATGAGGAGAAAAACTGACCCAGAACTGATACAGATAAAAGAATTGGCACAAAAGGGCATTAAAACAATTTTTATAACTGCATTCCAGATGTTAAGTAGAGACATTTGGAAGGTACTTTTTAAATTTATTGATTTTTTTTGAGAGAGCAATTTGTTGTCCACTTATTTATGCATTCATTGGTTGATTCTTGTATGTGCTCTGACTGGGGATCAAACCTTGGCAAATTGGGACAGTGCTCTACTGAGTTACCCAGCCTGGACTTAGAAGTACATTTTTTAAAAAAATTAAACTTACAGATACAGACTACAGTGTTTGAGATTGGATCAATGGCAGATTATACATTGTAGGTAAGTGATTGATAGTAATAGAAACTATCCAAGGGAAACATAGGGACAGAAATGAATTTTTTAAAAAAAATGAAATAGCATCAGTGAGCTGTGAGACAACTTCAGGTGTAATAGAAGTTTTGAAAGAAAGAAAAAAATTCTACAACAAATATCTTTTAAAAACCAAGGCGAAATGAAGATTTTGTGAAATGTACAAACATTGAAAGAATTTATCACCAGCAGATATACACTAAAAGAAATATTAAAGGAAGCTCAGCAGCCCTCACTGGTTTGGCTTAGTGGCTAGAGCGTTGGCCTGCGGACTGAAGGGTCCCAGGTTTGATTCCGGTCAAGGGCATGTACCTTGGTTGTGGGCACATCCCCAGTAGGGAGTGTGCAGGAGGCAGCTGATCGATGTTTCTAACTCTCTATCCCTCTCCCTTCCTCTCTGTAAAAATCAATAAAATATATTTTGAAATAAATAAATAAATAAATAAATAAATAAAGGAAGCTCAGCAGAAAGAACATGTTAATGTGGCTTCATACAAAGAAATGAAGAACACTAGAAATAGTAACTTAATTGGTAAATGTATAAGATTTTCTTATATAAGTATCTTTAAAAGATAAAACTGTTTAAAAATAATACTGATGGGGGTAGAAAAAGAACATGTATAAGTAAAATGACAATGCCGAGGGGGAGAACTGAAGTGGTATAATGTTATGATTGTGATTATTGAAAGGTGTATGCTATATAAACCCTTAAACAAACATTAAAATAATGAAAGAAAGGGTTACACCTACTAAACCTCAACCAGGAAGTTAAAATGGAATCATAACACTGGCCCGCCCCACTCGCGGGGATGGCCGAGGAATTGTGCTGCAACTCCCTGCACTCCTGCAAGTGGGGTGCTGTGAGCCTATGTACCACCGCCACGCCTGCCTGGGCCCTAGGGCCTGAGGGCAGGTGCCATCAGAACACTGTGCACTGGAGTGTAAATTCACAGAGAAACATGAATAGATAACAACAGAAAATGGTATTGGAACTGTGGGAATCAGCATTTTTGCACAGGAAGCTTTGGGAGATGTTTACTGTAGTCTGCCTGAAATTGGGACAGAATTGAACAAAAAAGATGAGTTTGGTGCTTTGAAAAATTGCAGAAAATCCAGGACTTGTCAACAGATCTTGTTATGAAGACGGTTGGCTGATCAAGATGACACTGACTAATCCTTCAGAACTAGATGGACTAGTGAGTGAAGAAGCATATGAGAAGTACATAAAATCTAAGGAGTGAAAATGGAACCTCCTAAACAAAGTAGATGAAACAACTTAATCTGGCATAGTTGTCTTAAATTAGTGGTGGATAGAAGATTTAAAATAGCAACTTTTAGTAATACCAATGGAAAAAGAAACTTCAACAATGCTATTGGAAGAAAATTCCCCTTAACTTTCTAATGATTGCAGATAAACACAATATGCATATTTTCACAACACCCTATGATTTTTAGGTAGACTACGGTTATGATATTCAGAATTTCTGAAATTATAAAAAGTATGTAATTCAAGGATAACATTGTTATATTAGGCCTTACATAATATTATTACTTACTTATATCTGTCTCTGGATTTGGTTCAAAATTATTAATCTTTCCATTGGAAATAATTAGCAGTGGAGAAAAGTTTTTGTTGTTAGTGTCAGATAATGAACAATATCTAAATTTTGCAATATACTGTGTTTGCTGGTGCTATTTTTATACAGTGAAGTGGCAACCTTGAAGGAAAACAAAGTTTAACAATAAAACATTCAACTTCTTGCCCTGGCCAGTTTGGCTCAGTGCTTACAGCGTCAGCTCGAGGATGAAAGAGTTGCAGGTTCAATCCCCAGGCATGAATGGGAAGCAACCAATTGATATGTCTTTCTCACATTGATGTTTCTCTCTCTCTCTCCAACTCCCCCCTCTCTTCCATTCTCTAAAAATCAATGGAAAAAATATCCTCACCCCTCAGGGATAAAAAATAATAATAAAACATTCAACTTTTGTTTTAATAAATAAATAAATGACATTGAGTTAAAGCCATACTGATGGGAGCATCTCAAAGAGGCACAGGAGCCAAACTGAAACAGCTCTAGTGGCCAAGGTGCAAAAATTTGAACAAAGTAGTATGGGATTATAACCCAAATTGTAATATGTGTGAGCCCATGCTGATAGAAATAAAGTGATTAAATAAATAAACAAGGCAGAAGAGACATCTCCCATGCAGAAGAATTCCAAATATTTAAGGAGATGTTCCACCCTGAAGGACGTGAGGCATAACTCCCACTTCTTAAGTGTAGGCTGCACATAGTGACTTCCTTCCAAAGAACACAGTATGGAAAGGGGAGAAAAAAGTAACTTTACAGGAGAGAAACCTGACAAACACTACCTCAGCCAGGTGACGAGGTGAACATGAACAGTCGTCAGTCCTGTTGATAGTATGTACCTTTAATATTGATGCAATGAAAATGCACTCGTAACTCTGTTATCTTCTCTCCCAAACCCATAATCTCTAACCATGAGAAAAACATCAAATCCAAGGACAGCCTACACTCTAATACCTGATCAGTACTCCTTCAAACTGCCAGCGTCATCCAAAGGAAAGGAAAGTCTGAGAAATTGTCACAGCCAGGAGGACCCTACAGAAAAGTGACAAGAACAGAAATAGAGTGGAAGAGTGAATGAAACCTAGTGTGAATGCTGGAAGCACTAGGGGCCCCATAAGTGATGCCAGTCAGCAGGGATATATCCTTTTCTTCCACCATATTTAGCTGCATAGGTACAGGCAAGGAGTAGGCAGAGTTTTAACTGTATTTAGCCACTGAGTGCTATAAAGTGCACGAGGGTCAAAAAAGTGATTATGTGGAAAGAATGATGGACACTGGAAGACCAGAAGGATTTATTCGGGTCCAGTGGAGTCTAAGGTTCACTGGCGTGAGGATAATAAGAGTGAAAAGATAGGAGGTGGAGTGCAATGGAGATTTAAGAGTTGCAGTTATTGATACTCCTAAGATAACCATGGTGTGTGTGGCTGACGTAGGCTAAAGGACAAGAGCATCAGAAAAGAGACCGGGTGATTGTAACCAGCATCTTTATAGCTATTGGAATTGTCGTGAATTATGAATAATGTTAGACTTGATAACAGCATTTTATAGATGTTTGAAGCAAAGAATGTTAGAAGTTTGAAAACCCTGGAGTTATAGAGGAGGGTGATAGCGGCCTCAAAAAGAGGCTATAAGGAGCCAAAAGAACACTCCATCCTCAGGGCCATGCAAAGGTGTGTGAGAGGAAAAGCTACCACTAGAGAATGCTGCGGATGAGGCAGATTCCTCATGGGAGAGCCAGGCCTCAGTAAGTTAAGGAATATGTTTGAGGAGGGGATGGGAAGTGCATATGAAAATAATTAAGGCTAGAAAGAAGGTGCAGAGGCACATTGGTGTTAGAATGGAGAGGCTGAGGGAATGATTGGGAGTCATGGGTAGCTTATAATCACTAACATAAATGAAGATAGAGTGTAATAAGGTTCATCCCAAAGTAGAGAAGGTTAAGTGTTTGGTTAAGTACTTATTTTTATAGAGTTCCCTATTAATCCCTTCCAGTGGAAGAGTTGAAGCTCACAACAGTCATATGACCTTAACTTGAGATTGCTATCTCAAGGATAATTTCTTACAATGAAAATTTTTTAAAAAAATATTTTTATTGAGTTCAGAGAGGATGGGAGGGAAGGAGAGAGAGACAGAGAGAAAGAGAAATATTAATGATGAGAGATTCATTGATTGGCTGTCTCCTGCATGTCCCTCATTGGGGAACAAGCCTACAACCCGGGCAAGTGTCCTGATTGAGAATCAAACCGTGATCTCCTGGTTCATGGGTTGACGCTCAAATACTGAGCCACGCCACCAGTCAGGCACAATGAAATTTTTTAGTGAAAGTTTTGGGAGAAATGTCATGTAAAGAGAGATCTTAAGTAACAGGGAAATGAGCACATTCGTATACTGATGGTACAAGTGTCAGTTGGTATCTTTTTTTGATGGCAGAAACTTTAAATGAGGCTATATGTTCACTTTTTTATACAGTGTATTTATACATTATCAACATCCCTCACCAAGCTTACATTTTTTAACTATTTTTGTTTTTATTTTATTTATTATTATTATTATTATTATTATTATTATTATTTAATAGATTTTAGAGAGAGGACGGGAGAGAGAGAGAGAAACATTGATCAGTTGCCTCTGTGCACTTGCCCTGACAAGGGATGGAACCCGAGACCTGGTATGTGCCCTGATCTGGAATTGAACCTGCCACCTTTTTGTGTATAGGATGATGCTCCAACCAACTGAGTCACACTGGCCAGGACAAGCTTACATTTCTTAACAATCAGTGAACCTACATTGACACATTATTATCATCCGGAGTCCATAGTTTACATTAGGGTTCATGCTTGGGGTGGTGTACATTCTCTGGGTTTAGAAACAAATGTATAATGAATAGCATGTGTCCATCATTTAGTATACAGAGTATTTTCACTGTCTTAAAAATCCTCTGTGCTCTCTCTGCCTCTTCATCTACAGCTATGTAGATATAACTCGTTGTGTTGTTTTTTTTTTAAAAAAAAAAAAGGTTTTAATAAACTACATTGTTTTGAAATGTAATGTGACTTGAATAAAGCTTGAGAAAGGTAAATGGGATACTGTATGTTAATGGTAGGATTGTGGTCATTTTTTTTTTATGCCCTTACATATTATATTTCTTTTTTTAAAAATTGCCCTAACCGGTTTGGCTCAGTGGATAGAGTGTCGGCCTGCGGACTGAAGGGTCCCGGGTTCGATTCTGGTCAAGGGCATGTACCTTGGTTGCGGGCACATCCCCAGTGGGAGGTGTGTAGGAGGCAGCTGATCGATGTTTCTCTCTCATCAATGTTTCTAACTCTCTATCCCTCTCCCTTCCTCTCTGTAGAATATCAATAGAATATATATTTAAAAATATATATATTTTTTTTTATGGATTTCAGAGAGGAAGGAAGAGGAAGAGAGAGATAGAAACATCAGTGATGAGAGAGAATCATTGATTGGCTACCTCCTGCACGCCCCCTACTGGGGATCAAGCTCGCAACCCTGGCATGTGCCCTTGACCGGAATCAAACCCGGGACCCTTCAGTCCTCAGGCTAACGTTCTATCCACTGAGCCAAACCAGCTACGGCCATATAATATTTCTTTTATCAATGTGTATTGTATTGTATTGTATTGTATTGTATTGTATTGTATTGTATTGTATTGTATTGTATTGTATTGTATTGTATTGTATTTATAACCTAGGTTCGATTCCGGTCAAGGGCACATGCCTTGGCTGTGGGCTTGATCCCCAGTGGGGGGCGTGCAGGAAGCAGCCGATCAATGATTCTCTCTCATCATTGATGTTTCTATCTCTCTCCTTCTCCCTTCCTCTCTGAAATCAATAAATATATTTTAAAAAATAAAATAAAGGAAAAATAATCCATGTGGATAGAAATAATACTAACCTCATTTTAGTATTTATGGTGATTATCTTTACAGAAGTAAAAGATCCATAAACTTTATATCAAGTGCTTTCTCACTTTGTTGAGTTACTACCTTAAGAATATAAAAGATGTTCTTTTTTTTTAGGCCTTGTACCTGATAGCAACTAATGGAACTCCAGAACTTCAGAACCCAGAGAAACTTTCCCCAATATTTCGGGATTTCTTAAATCGATGTTTGGAGATGGATGTGGAGAAAAGGGGGTCAGCCAAAGAATTGTTACAGGTGAATTTGGAAATGATAATATTTTTGGGAAAAGTTGGCTTTTTTGAGTAACAAACAGAAAGTTTACATAGGTCTATTAGCTACATTTCACTGCTCATTCATCACTAGAAGTATGGCAGCTGCCGCAGTTTAAGATTTTATTTGCTGGAAATAAAATGTCCATCTATAATAATAAAAGCGTAATATGCAAATCAGCCAAATGACAGAATAGCAGAACAACTGTCCAGACCACCTTCCGGACTACCATGCTATGACATGCACTGGTGCCAGGCCAGCCAAGGCGGGTGCGATGCAATTGGTTGGGGGGTCCCACCATTGCCCCACCATTGCCCCGTAGAGGGAGGCCCAGGCCACCCAGCCGGTGGCGCTATGTCGGGTGGGTGGGGCCTCCCTCTGCTGGGTGATCGATGGGGGGGCTGTGATTAATCGCCCCATAGAGGGAGGCCCAGGCCACTAGCCAGCGATGCTGTGGCCAGTGTGCGGGGCCAGCCAATGATTGCCCCGCAGGCCAGCCAAGTGATCGCACCCCATGCCTGTCACCCACAGAGGGAGGTGACCAGTGGCAGGGGAGGGGGGGCAGTGCCACACAGATGGCAAGCAGTGGCAGCGGCGGGGGCGGGGCCAGCTGCTAGCAGCCCAGGGAAGGAAAGTCCGATAGGCCCTGATCACCGGCCAGGCCTAGGGACCCTACCCGAGGGGTCCCAGATTGGGAGAGGGAGAGGGTACAGGCTGGGCTGAGGGACACCACCACCACCACCACCACCACCACCACCCCCTCCGTGCATGAATTTCGTGCACCGGGCCTCTAGTTATATTATAATAAGCATATGAGTTTTTGCATGTTATTAATTTTCAGGCCAGTTCTTTGCTAGCATGAGTATCTGGGGACATTTAACTGAGATTTTATAATATCAGAAAAACTAAAGACTATGCTTTCAACTATAAAAGCAATGTATTGGTTATGCTGATTTTATGCAGGGATGAAATATGTGTTTATTAAATAAATTATGGTCCATTAAAATCTTTGAGTCTAATTGAAAGGAAATATTTAGCTTCTAAACTGGTGACATTTATACTTTTTTTTTCTCCCTAATTTCTGGCAGCATCCCTTCCTGAAACTGGCCAAACCATTATCTAGCTTGACACCACTGATTATGGCAGCTAAAGAAGCAATGAAGAGTAATCGTTAACATCATTGCCGTGGCCTCATATTCTTTATCCATTTTCTAAAAGAAGTCTTTTAATATATGAAAATTATACTCTTCTGG